GACCCCAGGGCTTCCCCCCTGGACCAACGCTTCACACCGACCCGTCCGCTGAAAACCCCCCCGTCCCCCGCTAAACTCACCAGGGGAGATTGGCCCTCCCTGGGCTCGCTCCAGAGCTCCACGACACCCCCTGAGGCCTCTCAAGAAGCCCCCAAGACAGTCCAAGAGGACCCCGCCTCGCCGAAAGACGGTTCCAAAACGCCCAAGATGGCATCCAAACAACCCAAGATGCCCTCAAGCCGCCCCAAAAAGCCTCCAGAGGCCACCCGCGACCGAGCGATAGACGCTAAAGAAAAAAACAAGGGGGCCGAAAAGGGCCCCAGGAGGGGCCCAAGAGCGCCCAAGAGCGCCCCAAGAGCGCCCCAAGATAACCCCAAGAGGCCCAAAGACGGCCTCCAAGAGGCTCCAGAGAACACTCCCAGACCCCACGCCCTACGCCTCCGGGCCTCCGCCCCCCTCCCCGTGCTCCCTCGCCGTCCTCCCTAGGACCTCCGACGTCGCCGGGGCGTCGGGGGTCACAGATTCGGCGTAGTCTGGTCGTATCTGTGACCCCAACATGCCGTTGTCCGAGCTGTTCAGGACCGGACATGTCTGAGCCCAGAGTTGGAAGGATGCCTCAGGCGAAACGAGCCGCCTCGTGAGCGGCATCTCTGAGCCCGGAGTTGCGATGATGTGTCAGGCGAGACTGGCTGGATCACCTCAGGTCAGGGCGTAGCTGAGCCCAGAGTTGCGAGGACGTTTCAGGCTCAGGCCAGACTGGCTGGACCACCTCAGCCCACGGCAGATCTGAGCCCAGTATTCCGAGGATGTCTCAGGCGTCGTCGTCGTCGACGCCATCATCGTCGTCATCGTCGTCGTCGTCGTCGTCATCGTCGTCCGTCTCCTCCTGCCATAGCAGGCCAAGAATGCTACGTAGATACAATCATGCGATACATATCACACGGAACGTGCCCCGGGGCCAGAAAACGGCCCCGGGGCCAGAAAACGGCCCCGAAGAATACAATCCGAGGCCGAGTGTCAACCAAAACAGGCGAGACCATTTTTTGATGAGAAATTGCTGCTCAAGGGAGAGAGAGAGAGAGAAAGAGAGAGAGGCGGAATCTAACACACGCACACACAACACGCACACACACACACACAAGCGCAGTCAACCCAAGCTCCCGTTCGTCCCGTGTCGCGTTCACGCTGCAGTGCTGCCCGCATCGTCATCTACTCAAACTGAATACCACCCTCCTCTCTCCCCCGCAGTTGCGGGAACCGCTCGCAACGACCCGGACAACAAAGAAAACACAAGACCCCATTTGGGGTCGGCGGCAGAGGCGGCAGCCTTTAAATTTCCAGACAGCTCTCCTGTAGCATGATGGTACTTCGAAGCCTCAGGAGACTTGCGGGCCCATTATGAACCATGTCCCCGGGATGTTTTCTGGGGACATGATTTCTTGGGGTGTGTTGGGGGGTCTCTTGGGCGTTCCCTGGGGGCCCCTTGGGGGCCTCAGGGACCTCTCGGGCCCATGATGAACCATGTCCCCGGAAGGTTTTCTGGGGACATGACTTCTTGGGGTGTGTTGGGGGGCCTCTTGGGCGTTCCCTGAGAGCCCCTTGTGGGTCTCTTGGGGCTTCCTGGGGGCCTCTTGGGCGCCTCACGGGGCCTCGTGAGAGCCTTTTGGTGGCCTTCGGGGGCCTACAGGCGGCCTAAGGCCAAAAACCTCGAAATATCGGTTGGCGGTCCCTCCGCTCTGGCCCTTGGGGAGCTCCTGGGGCACACTTGGGTTGTCAGGGGAGCCTCCTGGGCCGTCTTGGGGCCCTCGTGGCCAGTCTTGGAGCGATCTGAAGGGCCTCCGAGCGAGGCCGTGAGGGAGCGCTGGGAAGCGGGGAAAACGAGAACGCCTAAATTCTTCAAAAAACATAGGAAAATGAGTGAATCTTGCCTCCCAGGGCCCTCTTGGGGAGCCTCTTGAGTCCGTCCTGGAGCGTGTTGGAGTCCTCGCCGGCCGTCCAGGGCAGCTTGGGCGTCTTCGGGGCCTCTTGGGACCGTCTAGGGCCCTCTCGGGACCTCCATTCGCCTGTCGTGGCCTGCTTCGGGGCGGGCTCGGGCCGCCTCGGAACCCCTCTGGGCCTTCTCTTGGCGCGCTCTTGGGGCACACTTGGGTTGTCTGGGGAGCATCCTGGGCAGTCTTGGGGCCCTCGGCGGGGCCTCGTGGGCCTTCTTGGAGCGATCTGAAGGGCCTCCAAAGCCGTGAAGGAGCGCTGGAAAACGGGAAAAGCGAGAACGCCAAAATCCCAAACACTCGGAAAATGAGTGAATCTTGCCTTCCAGGGCCTTCTTGGGGAGCCGCTTGAGTCCGTCGTGGAGCGTGTTGGAGTCCTCGTCGGCTGTCTTGAGGGCATCTTGGGCGTCTTCGGGGCTTCGTGGGACCGTCTTGGGCCCTCTCGGGACCCCCTTAGCCTGTCGTCGCCTGCTTCGGGGCGGGCTCAAGCCGCCTCGGGAGATCTGGACCCCCCCCCGCAACCCCCGGTGGGCACCGATGGGGGGGACAGGCAGCGGCCCGCCCACCCCCTCTGGGCCTACTCCGAGATAGAGAATCATGTTCCCGGGAAGCTCTCTGGGAGCATAATATCTGTTCGGCTCTCTTAAAAAGGGGGGCCTCTGGGGGCTTGCCGAGGGGCGCCTTTTGGCCTATCGGAAACATGGTTGGGGCGGTGGGCGGAATAATCATGTTCTCCGAAAGCTATCTGGGAAATCAAATTTACCGAAGTGTCTTGGGGGCCCGCAGGGGGCTTCCCTGTGGGCCCCTTGGGGGCCTATTGGGGCTTCCGGGGGGCCTCTTGGGAGCCTCACGGGGCTTCTTGGGAGCCTCTTGATGGCCTCTGGGGGCGTCCTAGGGGCCTCTCAGGCCAGAGACCTTGAAATGTCGCGCTCTTCGGGCTCTCTTGGGTCGCTCTTGGGGCTCTCTTGGGGCGCTCTCGAGGCCCTCTTGACTATCTGGGGAGCCTCCTGGGCCGTCTGTGGGCTTTCTTGGGAGCCTCTTCGGCCGTCTTGGAGCGATCTGAAGGGCCTCTGACGCGGCCCGGGACCGTGGGAAGGTGGACCATGGGAGAGCGCAACAATGCTTCAAAAACCATTGGACAATTTATAATTTTCGGCTTCGGGCGTTTGGCGGCGTCGTCGGCCGTCCTGAGGCCATCTTCGGCGTGTCCGGAGCCTTTGGGGGCTGTCTTTGGGCGTCCTGGGAACCCGGAAATCATGTTCCTGGAGAGGCTTCCAGGAATATGATTTCGAACGAGGCCCTCTTGGGCCTCCCTGAGGACGTCTTGGGGGCCTCCTGGGCCGCCTTCGGGTCCTCTTGGGCCGTCTTGGGGGGTTTCCGTGAGCTCCGCAAGCCGACCCTATTGGGCCGTCTTGGGGCTCCTCGGGGGCATCTGGGGCACTGCGAAGACGAAGCAAGGGAGTATGCTGAAAATGTACGTTTTACAAAAGGAATGGGCAAATTGTTGCCCCTTCAAGGCCCCCTCGGGGCCCTCTTCGGCCATCTTCAAGCCATCTCGGGCCCTCTTAGGCCTCGCTGAGGCTGTCTTGTGGGCCTCTTGGGCGCTCTGGGAACCCAGAAATCCGGAAATCATGTTCCCGGAGAAGCTTCCGGGAACATGATGACGAACGAGGCTCTCTTGGGCCTCCCTGAGACCGTCTTGGGGGCCTCCTGGGCAGGCTTCGGGGCCTCTAGGGCCGTCTTGTGGGGTTCCGTGAGCCCCACTGGCCGACCCTTTTGGGCCGTCTTGGGTCTCTTTTGGGTTGTCTTGGGTCTCCGCGGGGGCGTCTGGGGCACTGTGAAGACGAAGCCAGCGAGCATGCTGAAAATGTATGCTTTACAAAGGAAATGGGCAGAACTTTTTCTCTTGAAGGGCCCCCTCGGGGCCCTCTTCGGCCATCTTCAAGCCATATCGGGCCCTCGCTGAGGCTGTCCTGGGGCCCAGTACGGGGCCCTGGGAGCCCGGAAGTGATGTTCCCGGGGAGGCTTCCAGGAACATGATTTCGAACGGGGCCCTCTTGGGCCTCCCTGAGGCCGTCTTGGGGGCCTCCTGGGCCGCCTTCGGGGCCTCTTGGGCCGTCTTGGGGGGTTTCCGTGAACTCCGCAAGCCGACCCTTTTGGGTCGTCTGGGCTCCTCGGGGGCATCTGGGGCACTGCGAAAACGAAGCCAGCGAGTATGCTGAAAAAATACGTTTTACAATGGAAATGGGCCGATGCTTGCCTCTTGAAGGCGTCCTGGGCGTCCTCGGAAAGTGGACATCATGTTCCCGGAAAGGCTTCCGGGCGACAGCCGATCCCATCCATCTTAGTTAATGCCTCTTCTTGTCTCTTCTGTCTCTTCCAGTTCGCTTCTTTTCGTTGCTTGCTTCCGCTGCCATTTAGGGCCCTTGAGCCGCGCCGATCGGTTCCCCGAAAGGGCCGCGCCCGCCAGCCCTGCTGGGCGCCTTCCGCCGGATGGGTTTCGCCTGATTCATCCTCAAGTTGGTAGCGGAGCCATGGGAACCAGCTTGCATACAGACATCGCCATCCACGAGGCGATTATTGATTTGGGCTGCTCCAAAGGAGTGGCTTCATCTGAGCGTTTCGAAACATTCCGGGCTCTCTTGGCTTCGGAGTACCCCCACCTTGTCGTGTCCACCTGTCCATCGATACCGGTCTGCAGGAGGCGAGCCCAAAGCAGCGGAAAGCACAGCTAGCGTGCCAGTGCCGAGCATCGCATCGCAAACGGATTTCGAGGTAGTCAACACAGGGTCTGGTCCTCAAGCAACGCCGTTTTTGTTGCCAAAGCCTCAATTGAAAACCTCGGCGCTGTCATCGATTTCGGCAACGACACGATGTATTGCAAAGCGACAGGCAAACGACAGTGTTGAAAACGTTATCTCCTGGTCATTACCTCTTCCCGCTCATCGTTCTCAACAGCGCGGCTTGCCCAGGGTCAGCGCCTGCCCTCGCAGCAGACGCCGCGAACGGGACCACAGAACGAGCGTGCGAGACCATCGCTGTCCAGGAACACCCACGTTCGTCTCAAGTGTCTTTGCCACTTCGGTCATCCAAGTTCCTGGAAGATCTTTAAAATGAGTCTGGCCCCCGAAAGATGCACGACCGTCACGGGCGCCCCAGCGCAGAGCAGCTCATGCGCAAGATCGCGCCCGCCTTGGAGCCGCGCTGCGTTCCTGCAGTCCGCGCGCTGGCCGAAAATTGCACGTGCAGTTGCAAAATCTGCGGTCGATTTGAAAAGCCTGCCGCCCATCCCAAAACAGGGGGCATCACTGCCCGCGCTGTGAATGACATCGTCAGCATGTACAGCTTCGAAGTTAAAGTTGGCTCTGCCGCTTTCGTTTTCCAACACATGGTAGATAGCTTGACAATGTATTCCCTTGCAGAACATGTCTTGAATCGGGATTTCAACGGGACGTTGCAAACCTTTTCGCGTTGGCAGGCGGTTTTCGGCTCTCTGCCACAACAGCTTCTCACAGACAACGGCGGGGAATGCAGTAACAAAAAGGTTGAATAATATCTGGGACTCCACGGGGTAAAACATCTTCGGATTCCCCCCGGACGCCAGCTCCGGCTGGTTTTGTCGAGCGTCACAACGGTGTTCTTAATATTATCTTCTATGAGCTTACCGAAATGTTCAAGCAGCAGGCTTCGGATGGATTCCTCGCCCCAGCAGGCGTCATGTTGCAGGCCGCCGCGGCGAAGACTGCTGCAGTCAGGCGGTGTGGTTTTTTTTTCTGCGCAGTTCCTGGCTTTAGGGGGCAACGGATTTTTGACGCCGTCGACGAAGCATCTCCGCCTATGATTCGCGATTTGCCGCGCAACCCAGCCAGCTACGCGCAGGCACGGTTGTCCCTTCGCCGGGCAGCGCAACAGACGGCGATCCAAATCCAGACTTGCTCAGAGTTACAAGAGATCTTCAACTCTCGTCTCGCTGGCACCCTTGGGCCTCTCGGCGCGGGCACAGGGGTTGATTTCATTGCAGACGAAAGTCCGAAAGCCCAAACCACCGGCGCAGCCTGGAAAGGACCTGCGCGAGTTCTTGGTATGGAGGGCCAGCAGGAAGTCTGGTTACGCACCCCTGATGGTAACGCCATCGCTGCGCATCGCCATCGCGTTCGCCTTCGCGAGAAGAATGGCGCTGTCGAGGTCCAGGTTGAAACTCCCGCCGAAACGAAACAACGCAGCCCAGCCACTGAGGACGACGCTGAAACCCCTCCCACACAGACTGTGCACCCTCCGAATGCAGCACCACCGACGCAGCCAGTGCATCCACTGCAACCGCCCCAGCGGCCGCCGACTGCTGTAACGCAGTCTCCGCCGCTTGCGCCGCCGCAGTCTCCGCCGAGCGCGCCGCCGCCGCCTGCGGTGCCGGCGCCGGTGGCACTGCAGGTGCCGCGCGCGCTTCCTCCGGCGCATTCGCCGACAGCGCCGCCCAGGCCCGTGAGGCGGATCACTGGGGAGAAACCGTGGGGCGGCGAGGTGCTAGACGAAGAGTCGCCGCGTAAGTCGCAGACGCTGCCTCGCTCTTTGTTGGCAGCCGCGAACGACGACGCGGAAGATTCCTTCTTCCGCGAGCCAGAGCAGTACTCTATGATGGCTGAGGTCGCGGATGCCTGTCCCGAACACGTTGGTGTCCCAGGGGGGAATTTTCTCGACGCTTTAGCTGTAGCCAAAACGTTGAAAACAAAGAGGCCCCCCAGAAAGTTGCCGAATCTGACCCTGCATTCGAAGCTCCACGCACGCGCGAACGTGTCCGAAAACTTCGAGGTCAAACCGCCCCCTCCTGGAGCCATAGCAATCCCGTCCAGATTCGTGTACGCCGCTCCTGAAGGGGAGCCAAAAGCTCGACTGGTCGTGCAGGGGTGTTTCGAGCCAGTGAACGATGACCACGTAGTGAACAGCCCGACTCTGCACCGACAATCTGCGCGTTTCCTCCTTTGGCTGGCCGCTTGCCAGGGCTGGGCACCAGAAGCGTGGGATGTCAGGAAGGCGTTTCTTCAAGCCAACGCTTCCGCGTACCCCAGCTGGGAAGACAAACCAGTTTTCGTCGCACCTCCGGCTGGCGCGGATCTTCCGAAGAATTGCGCATGGGAGCTCCGAAGGGGCAAAACGCTGTGCGGTCTTCGTCGCGCCCCTCGCGCTTGGCGTTTCCATGTGCGTTCTCTTCTTATCGAACGGGGCTTCGTGCCGTCAATCTGGGGCCCTTGCGTGTTCCTTCGGTTCGAGAGCGGTCGCCTTCAAGGCGTCGTCGGTTTTCGCGTGAATGACGCGTTTATCGCCGGCACAGAGGGATTCTGGAACGTACTGGATTCTCCTCCTCTTCAGTGGGGTAGCCGTTCGTCTGGTGACTTTGTGTTCTGTGGGCAACAGATTGAAGTCGCGTGCCGTATATCACCTTAGACCAGAAGGCTTACTGCATGAATCTATCCAGGATCCCCACGCGCCAGCGACGACGAGCAAGGCGCCCCCGCCTTCGGCCGGCACCGCCAGCAAGGCGCCGCCCGGAAGGCCACCTCCTACCAGGGCGCCTCCTGGAAGGCCACTTCCTACAGTGGCAACTCCGACGGCCGCAGAGCAGTTAGCAGCACTGCCGCCCCCGCGCCGGCTGAACCCAGCAAAACGCTATTTGTTCACGGATTCGCAACGCAGCTTCGAGGCAGAGGTGCCGGCCCTGGTGCGGACGCCTAGGCTCCCAGGATTTGAATCGTCCGGGGCAGGCCAAACGAGCTGTGAGCCTGGTTCGACAGCAGCTACATGCTCAGACCAAGGAGAACATTCTTTCTGAGCGTTTGGTTGTCGACTCGGAGCTTCGGGCTGCAGGCGCACCAGCAGCGAACGAGAAATCCAACGACCGTCGTTACCGCAGAGACGTGGATTTGCGTGGTCATTGGATGTCTGCCAGGAAGCTCAGAGACAGGCAGAAGGCCAAGATGATGAGAGCACAGCTTGAAGTACAAGACCGGAAGAGAGCCGCTGAACAGAGAGCTGCCGCTTCGGTTGCGACGCCGGCTCCCTTTTCCGAGCCGCCGCCGGTGCCGCCGAAGACGCGGCTCAGGCTGTCTTCCGACATCAGTCTGACCGACAGTTCAGACGAGACGCTGAGCTGTGACGGCAACGACCGGGGCGACGTCCCGGCCGCCCAGATTGGCAACGACAGTGCTGACAGGGAGGGCAAGGACCGTGATGGCAAGTTCGCAGTTTCCAAAGAGTGTTCTATTCTGCGTCTCTCTACTGACAGGCGGCTGAAACGCAACCCACCGTCAGCCGCCAGGCGGGCGAAGCGTGCCGAAGCCAGAAAACCAAAGAAGGCTGCGAAGAAGGCCACTGAAACCGCAACGAGCACTGCCTGATATGTTTCCTGTCTTCTTTTTAAAGAAGGAAGGATGAGGATGACAACCTATCCCATCCATCTTAGTTCTTACCTCTTCTTGTCTCTTCTGTCTCTTCCAATTCGCTTCCTTTCACTGCTTGCTTCCGCCGCCATTTAGGACCCTTGAGCCGCGCCGATCGGTTCCCCGAAAAAACCGCGCCCGCCAGCCCAGCTGGGCGCCTTCCGCCGGATGGGTTTCGCCCGATTCATCTCCGCGGGCCTCTTGGGCCGTCTTGGGGGGTTCTGTCAGCCCCAGTGGCCGACCGTTTTGGGCCGTCTTGGGCCTTCTAGGGTCTCTCTTGGGCTGTCTTGGGGCTCTGCGGAGGCGTCTGGGGCACTGCGAAGGCGAAGCCAACGAGTATGCCGAAAATCTACGATTTACAAAAAGGGAATGGGCCGTTTTGTGCCTCTTGGAGGTCCTCTTGGGGCCCTCACGGGCTCTCTTTGGGCGCTCTTGGGCGTCTTCGGGGCCTCTTCAGGCTTCGTGGCCATCTGCGCGGCCCGCGTGGCCTGCTGTGGGCAATGTGGAAGCGGCCCGGGGCAGTCCCAGGGGGTCTGTGACCCCCCAAAAGGTTCGGGGGGCGGCCATGGGGGATGTCCCCGCCCCCCCGGCCTACTCATATATATATATATATATATGTGTATATATGTATGTGTATATATATATATATAATCAACACATGCACGTCCGGAAAATGAAGGAACATACACATACACATACACATCTGCAATCATGTCCACAAACAGCTAAAACAAAAAAAAAAAATCCGGGGGGGACAATTGAAAAACCAAAAAACCTTCGCGGCGCTGTAGTGCACATGTAGAGCCAAAAAGAAGGCGGGGCAAACCGGACCGCCGGGGGCGTCTCCGCGACCGCCCTGGCACTCCGCGTCCAGGGGCAGATTCCTGCGTTGGGCTCGCACGGGGGGGCAGGTCTCTAGAGACCCCTCGCGTCAACGACGATCGGCGCCGACGCTCGGCGCTCGACGGCGATCGTCGCCGACGCTTGGCACCGACGCTCGGCGCCGACGCTCGGCGCCGATGCTCGGCAGTCGCACTCGGCGCCGATACTCAGCACCGACACTCGGCGCGCGCACTCACCACGAGTGTGCTCTCAGCCCCATCGCCTCACCAGGTGCACTCACCAGAGTGCACTCTGGGCATCCAAAAGGGGATGCCCAGAGTGCAGTGACGTGCGCATGGCCACTTTCCCATCGCGAACAATGCAAAAGCCGCCACGAGCGCGCGTCGGCACATTGTAGGCTACACCAATAAACGAAAACGCAAAGACCGCGTTCCAACTTGGAAACCCGATCGGCACCCGCTAGAAAAGGTTCGCTTCGGTTCGCAAGCCGGCGCGGCGACATTCCTATGGCGGACGCAACAGAAACCGCCGCGCGAACGCGCGCGTCGGCGCGTTGTAGGCTGCACCCATGGACGAAGACGTAAAGACCGCATGTCATGTGGGAAGTCCCATCGGCGACCGCTGAGGTTCACTTCTAATTCCCAGACCGACATGGCGACTTTCCTATCGCGTGCAACACAGAAACCGCCACGCGTGCCCGCGCGCGTCGGAGCACTGTAGGCTGCTCTAATATACGAAAACGTAAAGACCGCATGTTAAGCTTGGAACTCAAATAAGCAAGCGCTAAGGGTTCACTTTAATTCCCAGGCCAGCATGGCGATGCTCCGATTGCTGACAATACAGAAACCACCGCGCGCGTGTGTCGGCGCATTACCGCATGTGAAGTTGGCTATCCAACCGGTAAGTGCTATGGGCTTACGTTAGTTCCAAGGCCAGCAAGGCTATTTTCCTTTTGCGGACATAACAGAAACCGCCGCGCGAACGCGCGCGTCGGCGCAGCGTAGGCCGAATCAATGGGCGAAAACAAAACGGAAACACCGCACGGTAAATGGGAAATCCAATCGGCAACGGCCGCGGTTTCACG